TTCTGACCAATGGGGCTCCCCATGGGTCCAGAAGTTTGGCAATATGGTAGGCAGTGGCAGCATTAATTGCCTTGGCTGCCAGAGTAGCAACAATTAATGCTACTGCCACTGGTTCTGCTACAAAATTTTCAGTCCCATGGGGTGACCCACAAGCCTGATCTGGATCACGGAGCTGTGGAAATTTGGCAGCAGGAGGAGCACCAGCTGTCACAGCTCTCCAGGCTACAGCAATTAACACTGCTGCCTCCAAATTCCAGCCCTGTGCACCAGATGACACAGCTCTGTGCTCTGCATCCAGCCCACAGGGCCAGATGAGTTAGGCATCACCAATCTAGCAAAATGAAGGCTGACAGGAGATCATAGAAATCATAGAAATTAAGGGCTGGAAGGGACCTCAAAAGATCATCAAGTCTAACCCCACTGCTCTGGGCAGAAATACTGCTGAGATCAAATGATCCCAGCAAGGTGTATGTGCAGTCTCCTCTTGAAGAATTCCAAACTTAGGGATGTCAACACCTCCTTGGGAAGTCTATTTTAGATTCTGGTCACCCTTACCATAAAGAAGTTCTTCCTTGCACCCAACCTGAAACCCCCTCCAACTGTTTATGGTCATGGCTCCCCTGGGGCTCCCTAGTGATCAGTTTTTCTCCCAGTTCCCACTATGCATCTCTGACATACTTTTAGATGGCCACCAAGTCCCCCTTCAGTCTTCTCTTCCCCAGGCTGAACAGTCCCAGATCCCTTAGTCTTTCCTCATAAGGTTAGTCCTCCAGGCCCTTAATCATTCTTGTGGCCCTTTTCTGGACCCTTTCAAGATTCTCCACATCTTTTTGGAAGTGCAGTGCCCAGAACTGGATGCAGTACTCCAGCTGGGGGTCTCACCAATGCCAAGCAGGGAGTAAGTATCGCTTCCTTAGCCCTGCTCGTGATGAATCAACTAATGCATCCCAGTATGCTATTAGCTCTGTTGACTACAGCATCGCAGCTTATGTTCACCCTGTGATCAGCCATAACCCTGAGGTCCCTTTCAGCCATCATGCTGGCCAAGACATCTCCTCCTAACCTATATTCATGTTGCTGGTTACTTCCCCACAAATGAAACACTCCACACTTATCCTTATTGAATTGCATCTGGTTCTGCTCTGCCCACCTTTCCAGCTCATCCAGGTCCACTTGGATCCGTATCCTGTCCCCTAGCATTACAGCTTTTTCCCATAACTTAGTATCATCTGCAAACTTGGCCAGCATGCTTTCCACATCCTCATCTAAATTATTGATAAAGGTTTTGAACAGCACGGGGCCAAGAACTGAAATCTGTGGGACACCAGCGGCCACCTCCCACTAAGACAATACAGACCCGTCCACTAACACTCTCTGGGTTTGACCCCTTAGCAAGTTCCCAAGTAAACTGACCGTGGACTCTGCCAGCCCACAATCCCGTTTTTTATAAGAGCATCATGGGAGACCATAACAAAGGTCTTTTTAAAATCCAAGTATACGATATCAACCGCATCTCCCACATCTAAGCGGTGCATTACTTGATCATAGATGAAGATGAGGTTGGTCAGACATAACCTGCCTGCAGTGAAACCATGCTGGCTATCCTTCAACATCATGCCTTCTGTCAGTCTCTCACAAATTGACTTCTTGATATTTTTTTCCAAAATTTTACCCAGTACCAAGGTCAAACTGACTGGCTTATAGTTTCCCAGATCCTCCCTCCTCCCCTTCTTATAGATTGGCACCACCAGAGATGGGGTACTGGGCTGTGACCTGCCTCTCCCCTGAATCTCTTTCCAAGTCCCCTGCCCCCATTGGAGAGCCAGGGACAGGAGCTCCCTGCTGCCAGGGCAAGGGGCATTGTATTAACCCAGGCAGCAGGCAGCCCCCCAGGGGCAGGGAGCAGTGTCCCAGCCCCAGTGCTCCCTGCCAGCCTCTGCACTAGCACCCTGGTGATAGCAGGGGCCCATTGCAGAGTTTGCTGGCTTTAGCAGCAAATCTTCTCTAACTTCCCTGGACCTGTAGACACCTGCCCAGCAGCATTTACTCGTGAACAGTTTACTGGCAAGTAAACTGCTTCCAGATCTAATGTACATGTAGACACACCCACAGTGAAGGGTAGGGTTCGGATTCAGAGAGACCTCAACACACTGGAAGATTGGACCAAAATAAATCTCATGACATTCAATAAGGATAAGTGCAAAGTCATAGGACAGAACAATCCCATGCACTAGTACAGGCTGAGGACCCACAGGCTAGCAGCAGCTTTGCAGAAAAGAACCTGAGGGTTAAAGTGGATAATAAGCTGAATATAAGCCAACAGTGTGCCCTTGTTGTAAAGAAGGCTAACAGCATATCGGGCTGCATTAGTAGGAGTGCTGCCAGCAGATTGAGGGAAGTGACTCTTCCCCTCTATTCAGCATTGGTGAGGCCACATCTGGAGTACTTCATTCAGTTTTGGGCCCCCCAGTACCAGAAGGATGTGGACAAATCAAAGAGCGGCAACAGTGAGGGGCAACAAAATGGTTAGGGGGCTGGGTGACATGACATATGAAGAGAGGTTGAGGGAACTGGGCTTATTTAGCCTAGAGAAGAGAAGACTAAGGGAGAATTTAATTGCAGTCTTCCGGTACCTGAAGCGGGTGTTACAAAGAGGATGGAGCTTGACAGTTCTCAGTGGTGGCAGATGACAGAACAAGGAGCTATGGTCTCAAGTTGCAGCAAGGGGAGTTTAGGTTAGATACTAGGAAAACCTCTCTCACATGGAGGATAGTGAAGCACTGGAATTCACTTTCTAGTACAAAATATGGAGAGAAAAAAGGAACATCAGAAGAAATTTCAGGATTTTGGTTTAGAACCAATAAAATAAAATACTACGTTGTGGTGAGAGGTATCAGTTTAAGAGGGGTTAAAAATGTAACAAAGTCATATACAATATGTGCCCCTTTCTCCTCTGTCCTTAAAATAAGTCAGCTACTCAACGTGGCTACAAATCCATATAAATTTTCCTTTTATATCTTGACACAGAAATTTCATAAATATTTTTAAAAGCCCAGATCGCTCTGTGTTACCTATGGAGAACCTGTGGAATGCATGGCTTGGGAGGTCATTGAGTCAATGGCTGTGGCTAGATTTTTTTTTAAAGGAATGAATCATTTTATGACCATTAATAAATTCTGCGGCTATGAAAGTTAGAACAGTGTGTTGGATAATAACATTACATTCTTCAGGAAATATTTTGATTGTCTTGGGATTGTGGGGTCAGAAAAGAATTTTCTCCCTAGTCTCAGCTCCTTATAGTTGGCTAGATGAATAATGGGACATTTCTACTTTTCTCTAGTCGTGACAGAGACAGGATAGTGGACTAGATGAGCCAACAGTTAGATTTAGTTTCACTATTTCTATTCTTTCCATGGGGAATTGGATTTCTCCCTTACACTCCTGTAAATTAGGAGTAGCTCCAGTAAACCCAGTGGACGTACACCGATGGAAATTTGATGCGACATATAAGAAATTCAATCCCATAGTCTTCCTAAAAGTAAAAAGGTGTATTCAAAGTTTGAGGCAGCAATTTGAACATCTACTATCAGAAGTCACTTACAGAGCCGCAAGGTAATGAGATGACATAGCTAGTGACAACAACCCAGAGCTTGTTTCCCCTCAATGAATGTAATTAAATATAGAAAAAACAGCTTTATATATATTCCGATCTATTCAGTACTACTGAGGACACATCTAGAATATTATAGCCAGTTCTGGTCACGGCACTTTGAGAAAGGTGTGGACAAATTGGAGAGAGTCCAGAGAAGAGCAACAACAATGTAGTGACATAACTAAGGGAGAGGCGGGGCAGGAGAGTGACAGGGCAACTATCCTGGTCACTGCCTTTTGCAGCAAAAAAGCAGCTGCTAACAGTTGTTGTGCTTGTGATCACAGACTGGAAGTCTCTGCTTTGCTACAGGTGCCCAGGTGAGCCCCTATGCTGCTGCACAAATTATCAGAGATTTGTAAAAATGTGACATGGGAGGTAGTGGGGGGGTTTGTGACAGTCTTCGAATAAAAAAACAGTTTTTATAAAGAAGAAGGTGATCATCTGTTCTCCATGTCCACAGGGGACAACACAAGAAGTAATAGTCTAAAATTGCAGCATGAAAGATTAAGGTTACCTGTCAAGAAGAGTGTTTTAGCCACAAGGGTGTTTAGGTCCTGGAATGGATTACCTAGAGAGAAAATCCTCCATCATTGGAAGATTTTTAGTGCAGCTTAAAAGAACATTTGTTTGGGATGGCTTAGATGCAGTAGATCCTGCCTAGAGCAAGGGGCTGGACCAGATGACATTTGGAGGCCCCTTCCAGTCAACATTTCTAAGATTCTGTAATCTTTCTTTGAGTAAGAGAAATAACTTGATTACTTTATGGAATGTGTAGTCATTGGTTTATAGTGTGTGTGTAACTCACTATAAGAGCAAACTCATTTAAAAAGAGAACTGCTTAGTATTCACACAGAGCAAGTGTAAATCTGTCATCAGAAGCACTTCTAGAACACAAACTTTGGGTAAAAATACAGCTTTATAAAAGAGGCAGAGTGAATAATGGAAGGGGGGGATAGCAGGGAGGCACACACACAAACTGCCATACAGTCAAATCTTTTTCCTAACAAGGCCTTCAAGTTTATGCTGCACATCTCCCACCTGCACATGGATCTATAATTGCCATACCCCAATTGCTTTTTGAGGAGCATAAAATTATGAAGAGGAATAACTGGAGGGTAAATTGAACCTCCTGTGAAAATGAAACAAATCAGAGTGAGATCAAACCCAAACCTTATACATTCAGGCCACTTGTCAATGTTTTTACAATATAAAGATGTTTTACCTTATAAGGAAATACTGTTAGACAATATTACAATTACTAAACATCCCAAGCCACACGGGTGGTTCCACTTCCATGTTCACACTAATTCTGCACAGAATGAACATAGAATACATCAGAGCAACTTACTGCTGGGAATAGTTGTGATGAATTGATCTGGAGTTGGGCCTTTGAGGAAGACATCTTCACTTTTCTCTCTAGAAAAAGACAAGAAGACCTCCTGCTGATTTAAGTCACACAAGGACTAGAAAGTATGAGCCAGCGTAGAATGTGGCACAGAGTTATGTCTGTCATAATCAAGGCATCTAGCCTACATAACTTGAAGCCTGGCTTGTTTCCATAATTGCAGCTTGCCTGTGTGTGGTACATGTGTTAATATTTTGAGTCATGTGATTATATTGTGACAAGTGATGCAAAGCATTTTCAAACTGGAATCACGGGTAGATTGTCTGGGGTAATGCTGCCCATCTGGAAATTTCAGATTCTGTGCATTTATGTTCACAAGGATTTTGACATATCAAATATTAGTGGTTTACAAGAATGCTCAAGTGTATTTCGAATATATAGTACGTAGTTATGTAAATACTTGTCATGTGATAAATACCCAAACCAAAACAATCCTTTGAGATGATTTATTCCAACAGTTACAATATTTAATGTCATAGAAACAGATTTTTAACTAATACTTCAATGCCCAGTACTGAAAAGGATAGCGCAGAGGGATGGCTTCTTTTTTTTCCCAATTCATTGTATGCCAGGATGTATCTAACAATGAGAGCAGTGCATAACAGTACTCTACAGACTCTTCCTGTCATATGCTAAGGTTACAGCAGAAGCAACAAGGCTTTCTGAAATGGTTTTCACAGTATATTGCAGAGCAGCATAGATCATCTCTAATGACAAAGGGGTCAAATTGTTCAGAAAATAAAAGGTGTTCTGAGAAGAAGATAACAGAAAGCTAAGTAAGGTTACTTCTGATTTGTATGGCTGGATAAAGCACTTAGAACTAGACTCAAACAGAGAGCATAGACATACAAAAAATTTACAGTGGATAAATTACCTCTGTTTCATTGAGGGCCAAGCTGCCCTGGTTTAGCTTCCACTGAACACCAGGTAAAAACATATGCATGACAGTTGCCAAAGAGCAGCTGACATGGTAAAGCCCCATCCCCTTCTATCCTTTAGTAAGTAAATTGTATGAGCACACTGAGGCGGGAGTAGGAGACTCGGCCCCAACAGCTGAACTCTATTCTTGTCAGCTGTTTCTACCATCTAAGCTTTGTACAAAAGTGGCTCTGGAACCAAAAAGGAACTTGAAAATATGCCCCTTCTGCTTCTGAGACCAGCCATAAACCAAAACAGTAGAAGCAGGTTCAGATCAAATCCCTTCACACATTCAGCCTTCCAGTTTGGGTTTCTTTTCTCAGTTAAAATGAAAATTTTTGCAAGTCAGACTAAAAATACAGTTTTCAGCTAATTATCCAAGAATGTACTTTTATCCTTGCAGCTGGGCAAAATATTTGCTCTGAACCTCAAGCCCATTCATACGGACCCTTGGGTTCAAGGCTGCATGGATTTATGGCCCTCAACTCATTCATATGAAATGTGGGATGCGGTTATTCATATAGCCAGCATGCTCTTAAAAGAGCCCTCCCTTCAGCTGGCCTCCTTGACTCACTCAGGCTCTGTCCACTCCCCCAAAGTCATCTAAGGTAAGTGGAGTTCCAGGGCTTGATGAGAGGAGGGTGGTGGGGGGTGAAGCTGTGGTGGGTCTGGTTCACTTCCAAACCCTGCAAACCAAAATGCAGGGTTCATTTCAGCCTGTGAAAACTGAAACATTCTGGGTTCAGACAAGCTTAATTATCATCTGCATTACATGTGGGGAAGCAGGGAAGGACCTACATGTTATGTTATTTATATTTATTCTGCAAATGCACATTATACATGCATCACATTTCTCTAAATGTCTTTGCAAAACACATTATAAGAATAGCAGAATAAACAGTCATCAAACAGACCTACTGTCAGTCAAAGGACACTGCCCCAAACCTAGTGAAAATGCTACTTGGGAAAAAAAAATAACCCAACCTTCTTCAAACTTCCCTTTTGGCAAACCTGTGAGCAAACAGATGGGCCTTGCAGTGTTTTCACCCTGGAGATTAAGAAAGCAAAGCCCTTTTGGACAAGTTAGTTAATTCAATAGCTAAGGGTCTGCACTAAGAATGAATAATATACTCCAAGTGTCCCAATTCATCTCAGCTGCTAAGAAAGGACATCCTGGACCCAATCCTCAACTGCAGAGCTGGTGGCTCTTGGCAGGTCCACGAGCACAACAAACAAGGATGGCAGAACACCCTGCTGTAGGGTGTGATAAAGATGGCATAACTGCTTAGCTGCTGTTCTTTCTCAAGGCTACTGCAGTAGGGAAGGTGTCAGAAAAGAGTCACAGCTGTGGCCACTTGTTCCACCTTTATACAACCCTTACTGGCAGTGCCATTACTCTGGTAAGGGTTGATCTCTCCCAGATACCATGCATCCATAAAGAATGATACAGATTAAAATCAACATTTAAATATAACCCAGAAATTAATTGCAGCAATTACAGATTGCACAGTAAAGAGATCATATTATTCACAGCAAGAAAAAATATTAAGTGAGGAGTCATTCATCCTTGGAGGTTATTAAGATCTGGCTAGACAAAGCCTTGGCTGGGATGATATAGTTAGGGATGGTGTTGCTTTGAGCAGGGAGTTGGACTAGATGACCTTCTGAGGTCCCTTTCACCCTAATTTTCTATGATTCATCCAACTGGACACTAGTAGGGATCCCCAACTGGTCTTCACAAGTTTTCACAACTGCAATCCACTGTAGTAATTGATTCTTGGAGTGACAAAAGTTAATGATCAGAGCTGGATGATCCTTTTCATGATGCAATTTCAAGGAAGATGAAACTATTTGTGAATTCAGGTCAAACGTAGCAAATAGTCTTGGTGATATTAATTTAACATCTGAGCAAACATTTCATTTTGACATTTGCAAAACAAAAATGTGTTTAGTTTTTGGCTTGAAAGGATGGGATCTTTCAAAATATACCAACAATTAATAAATCAATGTTAAGAAAAAATAGTTTAAAACTCTAAAATGAAATGATATGTTTCATTAAGAGTTCAATTAAATATTTCATTTGACATAGAATAAATATTATGAATTTTTTGTTTAAATCATATGATTGCAGCTGAAAGAAAAGACTATTCTGGAGATGTATCAACTAGTCCCTCTTTGGCTAGTGTTATCAGCAGTTTGTGATCAGTTTCAACTGGAACAGGCCTTCCATAAATGAACACATGAAGTTTTTACAGCTGTATATCAGAGTTGTCACTTATTTTTCAATTGATGTATACAGACAACGTTTTGGTGAGTGCCATCAATGCAAAACCCACCAGCAGTCTCCAGTTTTCTCCTTGTTATTGCATCAGGGCTGCCACAGTGCCTTCTGTAGAGGCATTTGTTGAGAGTTTAGTGGGTTTTTTAGGGTCACAGTATCTTAACACAGGAGCCTTTTTGATTAATTCCTTCAGATTTACAAATTCAGTGGCATGGTTATGTTCCCAAGCCCACCAGACATTTTTTCTAGGAGTGTTCGCGTGTGTGGTCTTTTCTGGTAAGCTATGTATAAACCTCCTTGGATCATTTCCATAAATTTTTATACTCCTTTTTATCTTCAAGGGGTAGCCTGTTGGTAATGGCCTCAACCTGGTCAGGATGACCTTGCCCCCTTATTCCGTTAAATTTTCTTCTAAATATTTTATTTGTTCGAGCTTGAATTTGCATTCTTTGCTTGTTCAGTTTCAAGCCAGTTATAGGAGCTCTTCCTAGTACCTGTTTTAGTCTCATGCTTCTCATTGTTTTTCCCCAAATGAAGATATCATATATGTACACTACAGTTCCCTCAAGATGTTCAAAAATATGTTGTACCTTTCTGCAAAAGGCCTCAGGTGCAGAACACAATCAAAAAGGAAGTATGTAAAAGAAATATATTCCAAGAGGGTTAATGACAGTACACAACCTAGCACTATTCTTTTCCAATAGAACTTTCTAAAACCCAGAGGATGCATTCAGACTGGAAAAATATTTAGTTTCTTCCATGCTTCCCAAACTTTCATCTCTGATCACCCATTTAATTGTTTAAGACCTAGACACAATCTTAAAGATCCATCTTTCTTTTCTATTATGAAAAGGGAATGAACCCAAGCTTTTGGTTCTTCCATTTTTTCTATAATATCCAAAACAACTAATCTATACAGCTTTTCTTTATGTCTTAAAGCTAGAGGACTATTCTTTGGATCTTGAACAGTGGGAGTGTTTTGTTCTATCAGTTCTATCTTGGACAGGGTTTACAGTATCCCTATGCCATTAAAAATAGCAGAAAACTGTTCTATATTGCTGTCTATTGGTTTCTTAAGGGAGCCTATTCTTTTAATTAAATTCAAAGCTTTAGATCTTCTTAACCCAAGACAGGCACTGATTTACCTGGAACAATTATGAATCCAACCTTAACTATATTGTCTTTGTGCCTAACAATCAGTTCACACACACCTTTAGTTGGAATTAACTCCCCATTATATACTGATACTTTCTTATTCCTTAAGTATACAAATTTAATGTTCATTTACTTAATAATAATATCAGATATTACATTGACCTGTGCTTCTGTACCCAGTTTAAAAGTTACCATTAGTCTATTTGTCTCCAAGGTGACTCTCCAGGCTTTGGATGAAGTGACTTTTTCTTTCATAATTCCGAAGAAGAGTTCCTCCTCTTCCTCATATTAAGGGCTTGTGCCTGCTGTTTCTTCTGCTATTTCTATATGCAACCTCTTGCAAAGTGAATAAATATCTTGCATATTTTGCAGCACTTCCCACATGCTGGTCAATGTATGTGTTGGCTGTGGAGGCAGCTGCACATGCAGCATACTGTGATCTCTCCAGGAAACTCACTTTTGCTTCTGTGTACCTGCTTCAGACTGAAATTCTCTGCCATATGCTGTTTACACATTGCTTTGGGCCTCTGTGATTCAATAAACCTGTCCAGTTCCACTGGCTTATCCTGCCTCTGCAGTAAGGCATTTGTAAGTTCAGAAGCCTGGCAAAGTTGCTTGTTCCTAAGTGGGTTAAGTATTTTCTAAACAGCCTAACTC